GCCCTCCGCGCTCTCGTAAGTTCTGTTTGAGAAAAAGAAAAAAAAGCCCACCTGGCCACTGAGCATGCCCAGCCCCTCAGGCCAGCGGCGCTTTAGAAATTGTGAAATCCGAAAGCAAAGATCTTGGCGGTGACCGCACGTAAGAGGAAATGGGGAAGCGAAAGGAGATATGGGTGGGAACGCCGGGGGACCGGTGTCAGAGTACCTCCAGCAGGGCCTGGGAGCAGGAGGGGCTCCCCGGCGGAAACAAGGGGCCGGTTGTGAAGGCGGCTGGGGAAGTCACTAGGCCGGGAAATCATCAGGTCTCCGCGGTTAATGACTCTCCAACTAGCCAGTGTCCTCACCAGCCTGAGCCTTGGTTTTCTGGATTGTGTAGTGATGGGGTTAAGTTAGGTGACCCCTTTAAGATGCTTTCTGGCTCTGATCTCCCAGGATCTTTCCCCCATTGCAGAAGTTTTCATCATAGTTAAGTGCCTAGCACTCTCAAAGGGTTTTGATCATCCAATTTGGGACATCATTGGAGAGAATCACTGTATTTTTTATGTTTATTTTTTATAAGATTACCATTTACTTGTGTGCAGCAATGTGAAAAGGCCCAAGGCGGGATCAGGTTTCCTTCCCCTCCCTCAGCACTGTGGGATTCTTTGAGAATCTCCTCTCTAAATGGCCTTCTCTTATCTTGTCTTACTCTCATCCCCGTTTGGGCTTGTAGTACTCATTAAAACTTTGGAAAAGTGTAAATCTTTGGACGGAGTGGCGTGTGTCACTGTAGATGTAGAAAGGAGCATGTGGTGGTCATTTGGTAGCACTCAAAGGCTTAGAAAATTAACTTTTTAAAACCCACATGTTTGCAGCTTCCACTGATCTCTTCCAAATTCCCACTATGAGTCAAAAGTGTCATGACCTAGTGGCCAACCTTGGGGTCACTTTTGGAAAGTGGTTTCTAAATTGAAGAGTCTGAGATCCCGATTCTAAAGAACTTTGCTGACACCAGGTGGCTCAGTTCTCTCGAATTACTGCCAAGAATTACTGCGCTTCCTTCACGACAAAAATCCTCCCGCTACCAGAAGATTTAGAAATGGACACAAATGTGTTAAGGCCTATCCTATAAGTCGATCAGGTAGAAATTAAGCTTAGGTCATATTCAGACTTCCCATAATGTAGCCTTTGAAATTCTGCGTTTAAGACACTTGTAATTCACCTGCAATCTCCCCAACAACAAGAGTTGCTTCTTCCACATTGTGCCTCTTTAGAAGACTGGCCCTATTGGAAGAGATTAGTAAATATTCATAGACTTGATAACACTTGTTAAACTGGTATTTAAATCCATTTCTTAAGAAATGAAGATTGCATATCAAAATTACTATCTTATGAGAACTTTTTGCTAAAATTTTGTATAATTATTTAGTGATTGCAAAAATGTGACTTAGACTGATTTTGTGCTGGTCTGTGACTCTGTGGTGGGAGGCTACTTATCAACAAAATATTTACTGTCACACATAGAGAAGATAACCCAGATTAGCCTGGTAGCCTGAAGCAGGGAACAGACTCTACAATGCATTACAGTGCCTCCTAGTGGCCCCTGAGAGCTCAGCCCTCGTAATTGACTACAAAGGAGGGTAGGTGAGAAGAAAGCTTATGTTTACCATGTATATAGTTTTATATGCTGCTTTCTTTACTTGCCTTGTTTTGCTAGTGTTTTAATTACTAGTTATGATATAATTTTGCTGTTTTATTTTAAACTCATTTCTGTGTCATCAAAAAAGGAATTTTGAAAAAGGTTGAGATTGGCTATTTCAGATGTTAAAATAAATTAACATGTTTGATCATTTATACTGATTTGGCCATAATTAAGTAAAAAGTTGAGAATCCTGGATTTCTAAATTTCAAAACCGCATCAATAGACAGAAGGGTCCTGGTGAGGTTAAAATAATTCGCTATCAAAGAGCTATATTTATAATAGAGTTTCCTGCACAGTAGTACACTAGGAAGACTTTGCCTAATACATAAACATGGAATCATTGCTTAAAAAAAGCTTAACCTGAGATCAAACATATTTCTTTAAAGGCTTTCCCTTTATTCTCCCCTGTTCTCCATAGATTTGTCTGATGTGGTTGCATTGTGGGTTGGCTCACCTGTTTATTATGATTTAAAGAAGGCTGGCTTTGAAAATGATACCAGAAGACAAAGTACCTCCAAGTCTTTTTATGGGACACTGGGCATTAGAAAATCTATCTAAAATCTGTGATTACCTCTTAAGGAAAGTTTTTCATGTCTACTCTTTGTGAAGGAATTAGCTTAGTTGCCACCTCATATTATAAATAAGAAAGACTTGTCAAATCTCATTTAAGAATCTAATGACTACAAATTACTCTGTGGTATACTATTTCCTTGAGAAGAAAAAGAATCAGAAGTAAAAAGTGTGGCTAAAATCTTTAAGAGGAACACAGAAAACACATAACCCTTTTTCCATCAACCCTATGGGCCATTGCAAAAAATTGTTTATACCTGGTTAAGTATGAAGTTTGGGATGTTATTTAATAAAGTTGAAACTATTGAATATAATTATCCTGAGAATATATGTAATTTTTATCTTTCTACAACTACATATTTTTGGTAGGACAGCATTATGTTAAGATGAGAATTAAAGCATAGGTGATTTTAGTTTTGCAAGAAAAATGAATACTTTATAAGATCTGTTATAGAATTGGTCTGTATGCAAATGAGACATGTTTTATTGTATTTGAAAACTGGTCCTATTGTGCATCCTAATCAGTAAATCAGTTCCTGTCCTTTGAAAGACAGGAGCATCTTAATGTAAATCAGATACTTAAAGAGAATTAAGTTACATGTAAGCCATAGTATTCCTTTCAATTTGAATTTAACATTCAATACAACTTCAGGTAATTACACATTTGTAAGTATATCCTGGATGAAATTCCATTAATATATCTGCTTCTACCAATCATGACTTGGCCCAATATTTTTATTTCTAAATATGAACCACTCACTAATGAGCTTGATAGCCAGTTTAATTGCCCTACCTCTGCGTTTGTCATTATAATGGCTGTTCTTTGGAGTCTGTGTCTTCTTGCTGTATCTTATCTTCTCTCTGCCTTAGGGACACTGACTCTTTGAAACCACTTATAGACCATTTAGTAATGTATTGTTGCTGTAAGATCCTTGATAGCTCTAGTGTTCTACACAATCTCTGATAGTTTGAAAGAGCTCATTTGAGCCCTTAAGAATCTACATTTAGAACTTAAGAATCTATGCTTCCGCCAAAGAATGAAATAGGCTCTGGACAGAACAGAGCCCTCCGTATAAGCAAATAGCTAGATTTTGTACTTTCCCTTGGACCTGGGAACATCACGTGTCCAAATAGAAACTTGCACAATAAATCAAGAAATGACTTAAAAGCAAGAGTCAGACTAAATGGTGCAGATTTACACTGTTTGTAGAGCTTAAGAGGGGGTGAATGGGCGAAGGCAGAAAGCCATTGAGGAAGGAAGTTCCAAGTACAGAAAGTATGTCTATATACTTTTCCAGCAGGCTCAGGGGGAGAACAAGACAAAGACATTAGTCCAAAGGTTAGAAAAAGGGTGTTGCAGAGGCAAGCATCAAGGTTTGTTGTTTTTTACTATGGTATTTTAGTGTATTAACTGGAGGTTTTGACACTAATTTACCTTCTGATAAATGCAAATAATTTTAGAAAATTATTGATAGAAAAATTGAATTGCATGCTAAATTCTTGGTATTTGACTAACACATTTAGCGAACTAGAAAGTTCTTTTATTTCTTTGAAATACAAAATTTACGTTTAAGAATCTTGTGACAGAAAGTAGCATATTATATAATCTATAAAGTTTTGAAACTACTGTATTGTCTTCAAGAAACTGTACCCTGAAGTAGAAACACTGGATTAGGGCTCAGAAGTGTGAGCTCAAGTATCAGTTCTATTAATTACAAACGTCATGCCCTTAGGCAATAAACCTCTTTGAGCCTCAGTTTCTTTAGATGGAAATGGGGATAATAGTATCTCCATACCTGTGTTAGGGAACTGGTTTGGGGGACGAGATAGAAAATGTAAATAGAAGACTCTCAATAAACTATAAAATACTAACATACCCATGTAAGATCTACTGGCTGCAGCTAGAAAGAAATTGTCTTGATTCATAGTAAGCACCCCTCCCCCCCCAAGGGTAATTAATAGAGCATGGTTATAATTAACTAATGGAATCACAGAGACCTAAGAACACCTCTGTTATATACTAACTTGTGATAATAATGGCTTCCATTTGTAGAATGCCTAGATGTGTGTGTTAGCCCCAACCTCTCTCCTGTAGGGAGGCATTGAACTCAATTTGCGTATAAGGAGATTGAAGTTCAAAGAAGACAAATGATTTGCATAGTCCAAATAGCCAGTTAATTACCGAACTGGAATTCAAACCCAGGTCAGTCTGGCTTAAGGTTTTATACCCTTAACATAATACCACAATGAGCATTTTTTCTTTTTAGTTTTTTCCCCCCATCTATAAGTGAGAGGATCATTAGATTAAGACAATTGTACAGCACTTTTCAGTTTACAGAGGACTTTCACACACATGTTGGTCTGCTGTTTGGAAGATTTTCATTTGTCATATGTTCATTAATAAATACAAATCATTATTTTGTTCATAAATGTAGGTATCCTGGAATTCATCAGTGTGGCCGTGGGACTGGTCAGTATCAGGGGCGTGGACAGTGGTCTTTACCTTGGAATGAATGACAAAGGAGAACTCTACGGATCAGTATGTATTTTTTAAAAATGATGTAATTCATAAAACAATGACTGTCAGTTTTGTAAGTAAAATGTCTACTAATAATGCATTTCACAAGAAATACATAAAATATATTTACGTACAAATTAAAAATTTACATCCCGATGTGTTTCTATGTGTCTGGGCAATAGGATAGTAACTCAGTTTTCTTTTCTGAACCTAAACCCTTATTGCTTTCAGCTCACTAGTTTTTCCTGCCCATTATCTTGGGTCTTTCTACTTTCCTTCTGATTTTAGTCATTCCCACCAGAGGTAAAGAAAATGGGAGCAGTTTCCTTTCTGCCATGTTATATTCCTTTTGCCTTTATGTTCAGTGAATGTAAAATTTCCCTACCCATCGTCATCTTCTTTAGCTAAATATATGTCACTTGTTTGCTGACCTTTGTAGACAGGAAATGAGTGAGTGAAACCTCAGATCACTGTAAGATGCAACAAATGATGGTAACCACACTAGTTTGACCAGATATGCATTCTTGATAATTACAGTAGCCATGAGCTCACTCAGAGTTGTGTTGGGCAATTTTTAACTTTCCACTGAGGATAAGTGTGCATCTGTGGTTCTACTATAAATGTTTTTAAATATGAGGCTTAAAGTAAACTTTTAGGTTAATAGTTCATCAGTATGAGAAGTATTTTTTAGAACAATTAGAGTAACAGGATAATATAAAACTCAGTCTTCGGCAACATATAAATTTTTCTCTTTCAATGGTAATATTTTTTATTTGTTCCCAATTGCTGATATAATTTTAAGAAAGTTGGTAGAGTGTAACTGTGTGCCATTCTCCCACCCATCTGCTCATATGAAATCACTTCTTAAAGTCAAAGTCTCTAACTATTTACAAAGAATTCACTTATTATGATTTAACTGATGGCACTGTCTGGTGCCTTTTTTTAAAATTATTAAAATCTCAACTGAGACCACAATATGCAATTAGAATCTCAATATACACTGTAGAAAATTGGTTATAATATGTCAGTAAGTGGTATTCCACTTAATGTCTGTCCTTTGTAAGGGCAAACCTTGCTCTTTCCAGGCTTTCTGTCAGCTCAGAAGAAAGAGAAATCCTATGTTGTGTAACAATCATAAGGGTAGAATTACAACGGAAGGAGAAAAACATGCACATAATCTCCCTTTTTCGTGTATGTGTTAGATTTAAAAAAGTCAGCTGTGGTCCATTCCTTAGACAATATACAGTCAATCTTGAAGATATAAGGAATCACTGGGCTTTTACTGCGTTTACCTAATAGTAACATCCAGATCAAAGTTAATCATGGGGAATGTGTCATCAAACAATTAATAAATTCATAAAGTGAAGCTCTATGATTTGGTATGATGATCTTAAATTAGGAATTTGGATATTAGCAAGATCTTGAAATGTTTCAAGATGTAGTAGAGACTTTCTGTGTAGAACTTTGACACCTAATGATGGAACAACATAAATTACAAGGCCTTTTTGGTGGTGATGGTTGTAAGAGGGAAATAAAATGGAGCATAAGAAAATTCAGAATAATTTTTTAAGTATTTGAAAATAAAATTGATAATTGACATTAAACAAAGTCCTTTGAACTGAACTGCTGGGAAAAAGAATTCCAGATTACATAAGAATTAAAGCAAAATAAAGCAAAAACAATTTAATCTTTCCCCAAGGATATAATTATAGACAAAGAAATAAAAAGGTAGAGTTGAGATTTTTCTTTAAAAAATTCTCTCAAAGAATTTTTTTTTTAATGCTAGTTATCTGCTCTCTTTTAGGAGAAACTGACTTCTGAATGCATCTTTAGGGAGCAATTTGAAGAGAACTGGTATAATACCTATTCGTCCAACATATATAAACATGGAGACACTGGCCGAAGATATTTTGTGGCACTTAACAAAGATGGAACTCCAAGAGATGGTGCCAGGTCCAAAAGACATCAGAAGTTCACTCATTTTCTGCCTAGACCAGTGGACCCAGAAAGAGTTCCTGCGTTGTATAAGGACATACTGATATATGCGTAAAGTGTGATCCTGTCTTTCCTGAAGAACTAAACTACAACCATTCTTTCTTATTAGAGATCCCATCATAAAATAATAACCCGAGGAGACATTCAGAATGTTACAGAGCCTGTTTTCCATTGGAAGACTGAATTTGGAAAGCATATTAAGAACAAACAAAAACATTTCGACATTGGTCAAGATCTGTCTTTATAAGTGGCTTGAGTTCCCTTAGGTACGCCGGCTCAGTCCTCATTAGTAGATTGAAGCTGAAAATCTGTTCACCTGTGGAGAATGGGAACCCCCCACCTAGTCTGCTGCTCTGGTGCCTCACCTCTCTGGATGATGTTTACTTTAAAAGTCACATTAAAAGTAGATACTTCATGTTGAAGAAATGGATTGACATAGTTGGCCAGGATTACTGCTACATATATTTTAAGGACCTTGAAGGATTTTGCAGGTTATGGCATTCTATGTAAAAAACCTGGGTAGAATGTGGACTATAAAACATGCCACACCAAGACGGAACTTTTTTTTTTTTAAAGGATGGACCTATTTATACATTTTCAATTTGCAAATATTTATTATATATTTATTTATTAAAGAGTTTATTTTTTACTGGTATATGAAGATATTACAAAGAGAAAAACAACAACAAAAATGTCTTTATTGTGCCATTATTTGCTGTGGTGTCTTTGTCTGTAAAGAAGACATCATTATTACAATAATTAAACACAGAATAAGATCTTGAGTTTCTTTTTAAAAATAAAGGATAGCATAGATTATATATTTTTGCAGTCAGTTGACTTCTAAATGTAACATTGGTTCCTCTGACCTAGAAAAATGCTTTATCAGTTTGTATTGAATTCAACACACATTCGAAAGGGAATTAAACATTTTTATTTTATGCTTTGGCTTCATTCTTTTTCAGCTGCGAGTTATTCTAATTGTATAGTACAATTTTTTTAAATGAAAAAAATTTAAGTTCCCTTGAGAAAACCTCCAGTACTTAGAGAACTTCTAATGTTGAAAACTATCAAACACTATGGACAACTTATGTATTTTCTTGATTCAGGGGGAAGAGACCATTTCTTTTACCCACTACATTCACAGAAACAGTTAGTCTTGGTGGTACCACCACTAACTATGGTAAGGCTCCATCTACTTATCTGAGTCTGGTATATTTCCCATTATAGCTCCTATTTAGTCTGTATCCAGTAAATATTCATTAAAGCCTGCTCTACGAAGATACTGTTAGGCACGAGGTGGTGCTCAAGGCAGAGGCGGGCCCTGCATCATGGAGCTTAATGTCTAGTAAAGACACAGATGGTAAACAAATAAACAACAAATACCATAATTGTGAATTGTGACAGGCTTTATGAGGAAAACAAGGCTCAGACATGGGAAAAGAACATATATATATTTAATATATCTATTGATTTCAGAGAGAGGAAGGGAGAGGGAGAGAGAGAGAGAAACATCAATGGTGAGAGTCATTGATCGGCTGCCTCCTGCCCCCCCCCCACACACACTGGGGATCAAGCCTGCAACTGGGCATGTGCCCTGACCCGCAATCGAACTGTGATTTCCTGGATCCTAGGTTGATGTTCAACCGCTGAGAGATGCCAGCCAGGCGAGAACAGATTCTGATGAGTCAGAGAAGTCTTCCCTGAAGAGGTGACATTTTTCATGGGCCCTAAAGGATAAGAAGTGCCAGCCAGACTAAGAGGAGAAGAGCCTTCCAGGAAGAGGCAACGGAGTCCAGAGTATCGAAGGCAAGAGAGAGCTTTGTGGCTGGAGCTTAGTGACCAGCTGGGAGAGTGGCACAGATGAGTTTTAAAAAGCCAAACAGCTACAAGCCCGGAGGTTCTTAAAGGCTTTTCTGAGGTTTACTTGTCTCTGGCAACAGTTGTTAATGTCAGTACTCAGATGAGCAATCATCATTGGGGATATGGTAGTAATAATGGTAGCAGCTCTCACCAGTTCCCAACCTGGAAACCTGATAAAACACAGATTGCTGGGCCCCAGTTGAAGAGTTTCTGACATGTAGGTCTGGGGTGGGACCCAAAATTTTGCATTTTACTAGGTTCCCAGGTAATAATGATGCTGTTGGTTTGGAGACTAGACTCTGAGAACAGCTAGTCTAAAGCAGTGTTACTCAAACTAAAGTACCCATGAAATCACCTGGAGGATCCTGATAAAGGATGGGTCTGTTCATCTATAGATTGGGGCAGGGGGAGAGAGAGATGAGATTTTGCATTTCTAGCAATGTTGCTTGATGCTGCTTGATGCTGCTAGGCCATGGACCACACTTTGATTGGCAAGACTGACTGTTGCTTTAATGCTCTGGAGTTATTCCTATTTGTTCACCCTCCAGTTGAAATAAATTAATGGTGATATGTGGGGTGAGGGTAGAGAATTTAACATATAACTTCAATAAAGCTACATGGGAATGTGTGTGTGTTGGGGAAGTTGTCTGTGTGTCCACTTGAGTGTGTTCAGGGTGACAACAGAGAAAAATGTTTCAGCTCAAAACCTTTTGGTTTTATGAATGTAAAAAATAGTAAAGATGATTTAATAACCTTCAGAATAAAGTAATTCCTACTTTTACCAGTGCTAGGGAATTTATCCCTACAGTAGGACAATAAAGGCACAATTCTGTACAAATGAAAGCAAACTAGATTGGTGACCAAAGTTAATAGGGATCTAAAGAAATGCATTTGTCACATCGGTGACCACGGATTATTAAAACATTGATTTAATGTTCATCACTATTTTAGACTAGTCAAACCTGGGAGTTAAAGCGGTAAGTGGTACATGGGATTATACTCCCAGCTCCTTCAATACCCTTGTTATGTAATTTGGTAGACTCCTACTGCACTTTGGAACTTTTGGAACTATTTCATATTTGCAATTGTGATACATGGTTGTCCTGGGCTCCCCGTTGGCAGGCCCCATTGTTTGGGTTCTACTCTTTAACCTTTTGAAGGCTCTTTCCATCCCTAGAATTGCAATAAATCACTGGCAATCACACACTCAGGGAAAGGAGATATCACTTCCGGAAAACTTCTTAGGTCCTCTGTATCCAGCAGCGATCACAACCCAGAAACATCAGCTACACTCTCCTCCATATCCTTCAACAGTCAAAATAATTTCTCTACTTACATTCTAGTTTCCCAGAATTAACGTTATTTTTGATCCTGTATCTAAAGGTACCTGAGATTCTTCACTATTATCCTTTGTTCAAAACAGGTCTTCCCAGGCAGATCTAATGTTTTAATGGACCTGCCTGCATGTTAAGGACTTTGGGGCAATTTGTTCTTCCCTTTGAAAGATTGGGCCTGAGCTCCAGACTTTAGGGCCAGGCTTCTTAAATTAAGGGAGATCAAAAGAAATCAAAGGAAATGCTTTGGAAGTTGTTCTTTGTTTTTCATGTGCAGGGAGTTTATCCTTAAGATTTACAAAGTCCTTGTCTCAGTGTTCCCTCTCTTGGCTCAGCTCCCAGTGATTTTGAAGTGGCTTGTTGCTATCTGTGCAGAGGGTTTGCCAAGGTTGTTGCTATGGCTGCTGTGCCAGCAAGTTTAGCTGATTCTTGTGTCCTATTGATCGCCTCTGAATCTCAGCAACTTACCAGTGTTCCTCTTAGGAACTGGGGAAGGTTATCCCAAATCCATTGACCCTTTGTCTTAGCCCACAGGGAAATCGTGGCACAGACAGCAAGCCCAGACCAAATCCAAATCTTTTCATTAGCCAGCTCTCCAGCAATTTCCTGTGAAATTCATGCTTCCATGAAAAGCCATTGGGAGGCAGAAACAGAGCCCTTTAAGAGAGACCTATGATGCCCATTTCTTTGCATTTCAGCATAAAGATAATCCTCTGGGTCTTTGGGCTCACCTATCCTGTTAGTCAGGATGGTGGCTAATGGAGGTGGTTCCTTTCTAACCTCCTGGATCCCCTGCTTATAATTTTCCGTGGCCAGGGTTGCTCCTCAAGTCCTTGCAAATCCGCTCATCTTGGTTTCCATACCTTCCACAGTAGAAACAAAGCATTAATTTCAAAGAGGTTTCCACTTTCCCCCTTCACATATGTTATTCACTACCTATTTTTTTTTTTTTTTTAATTGTGGTAAAATATACATAACATACAATTTACCTTTTCAAAACACTTAAAAATGTACAGTTCTATGGCATTAAGTACACTTACATTGTGGTGCAACCATCACCATCATTTCTCTCCAGAACTTTTTTATTTTCTCCACCTGAAACTCTGGCCCATTAAACACAAATTCCTCATTTTTCTCTCCTCCCAGCTCCTGGCAACTGCCATTCTACCTTTTCTTTCTATGAATTTGATGACTCTAGGAGCCTCATCTAAGTGGAGCTTAGAGAATAATGTTTACTAGGCAGTGTCCTTGGGCTGAACAATTGTGGAAGAAAAGGCAAGGAAATAAAGTTGGGCAGAGAACTTGAGCTGTGATGCATATGCGATATAAGACTTGACCTTCTTGATTGAGCTCCGGAGCTAAAATGCTCCTAACTCATTGGGATGAGTTATCTGAGGTTTTTAACTCATGCTTGGATCAGTTGCTGGATGTGCACGCCCACAGGAAGTGGGTTTCTGCAGCAGAGGCAACTCCTGAAGGGGCAGATAGCTCCTGGGCATTTGGAGCCATCAACTCTTCCTTGCAGAGTTGTGTAGACAATGAATCTCCATGTCCATAGCCATCCACCCATCATCGCTTAGATCCAGATTTTCATGAAGATGATATGACTGCTGAATCCCTTTGTCATGGGCTTACTCTCATGCCTACTCCGTGGTATTGAGATCATGTGCAGATAGAGCAAGCCCTTGGATAGTGGTGCTGGCTGAGACATTGTGGACAGTAATGGCAATTTGTACCCAGAAGATTTATTCCTATCTGATTCAATCATAGGCTTCTCAGGGTAGAAGGAGCTCAGGGTAGACAGCTAGCCATCAAGTGGATAGTCTCCTTGAGAAATGGTACCACATATGGGCTCAGCATAGTTCTTTGTTGCTGGTAGGTTGGACATTCAGAGGAAGTAGTAGCTAGATTCATTATGGAAATTGGGAACCCATCACTGCGGGGCTCATGCCTAACCTCTATCTCTGTCATCACTGTTGCTTTTTACTGTACCTGTTGTCCCAGCATTGGACTGGCCAATGACAGCTGACTTTCATCAACTGGCTGAGCCATTCTATCTACTTGGTTGTTTAGTGCCTCTTCCATGGTGAGAGCTCTTGAGTTGGTGTTAACTTTTAATACAAAGATCTTCATGCTTTATAACCACTTCCATTTATTCATATATATTCCCTTCTGACAGGTGTCTTTGTCTCTAATCTCAATCTTTTTTCTTCTAGGATTTTGATCAACTAGCCAGACTACCCATGAATCTTTATATGTTCTAATCTCAGGCCACTTCTTGTATCATGCACAGTAGATGACTGGATGCACTGTCCCAAACTTTGCCAACTAGGAAGATTTTCCCTGAGTTAGGCTGTAGTAGCTTGCTTCCACATACTGAGAAGACTCATCTGTAAACCAAGCTTGGGCATTTTCATGCGTCATCAGCTAGT